GCTCCAATATACTTATATTAGTTTGCTTGAAATTGTCCCTCACATCACTGATTGTTGTTGAAAAACAACGCTCATGTTGTTTTTCAGTTGTTCTTCAGTATGTATTTCATTTAGGTTATTTCCATTGCTACATGTTAGAGTTTACAAATTTTCTGCATTGTCTAATTTGCTATTGCTCAAATCCAGCCAAGTTTTTATATAAGACACTATATTTAAAATTTTGATTTAGGTGATTTTTCATCTTCTCTATCTCTCGCAATGCTTATGATTTCCTTTACTTTTGACTATATGAAATATACTCAAAAATAACTGTTTAATGTCCTTGTCTACTAATTCCATAATTTGTGACTTTTGTGGGTCTTTGGATATTGACTGATTTTTATCCTAATTACGGACCTTGTATTTCTACTTTTTATATATCTGGAAATTTTTGTTGCTACAATGTAGTTATTTGGAAATGTTTGGTTCTTTTTGAGGCTTGCTTTTAAGCTCTTTTGAGTGGGACCTGATCAGCCTTGCTTCTATGGTAGTTTTGCTCCACTATTGAGACAAAAACTTCATAAATACCCTACTCAAGGCCCTTGGTAACACAAAGGTTTTATGCTCTGTATGGTGGAAATATCAAAGTATTCTCAGCTCTAACACTCCAAGGAGTGCTGTATTTTGATATGTTTCTTTAGAGAGCTGGATCTTTTTTTGGCAGACAGTTATGTTACTTCTGGATCAGCTTGATCAATCAGTGCCTTGTTTTCAGACATCTTTATTCTGTGTCTACAGTAGCTTTACAGTAAGGTTAATTTAGCCCTACACACCTAAGTGTGGCCTTCTTGGATCTCTATTGAATGTCCCATTATCTTTTCTGCTTGGGAAGGTCATAACTCAAATGATTTTCAGCTCTTAGTGACTACTGAATATTTATACTTACAGCTCTCTGCTTTTTATAATTGATGATTTTCCCTGCCTAGCCTTGTAGAATTTCACTCTATACATTTGCAAATTAGTATTTTGCCATTCTCTTCAATAGGACCCCGTGCAATTACTGGAACACTTTTTCTGAATAGCTCCCTTCTCTCTAGTGCTCTGCTCCACACATTCTTGCCACTTTGACAATCCTGAACTCTAACTTCCATCTCATTAATTCAGCAAGACTTCCATGCCAGTTTTGAAATCATCTTTCTTGTGCCAAAGTCCAGAAATTACCTCAAAGGAGAAAGCCAGAGAAAGCACAAGGCTCATCTAATCATGTTTTCTTCTCTCATGCATCACAGTCCTGCACTTCCTTGATTCTTTTTAGTATATTAAAAGTATTGAAATATATACATATATGATTATATATAAAATACACATATATAATTCTATATATATAATTCACATATGATTCAAATATATATATATATATATAATGCCAATTTTCTAGTAGTGTACAGAGTGAGCAAGTTCTGTAGCAGTTATTCCTTCATGAATGGATACTTCTTTTTCCTTTTGATTCCTATGTGACATCATTGACATTATGGCCATTCAAGTGCCATATGACATCTTTGATGCATTGTTTTTAATGATTGTATTTGTTGCATCCTAATTTTGCCTTTTAGGTTTTTAAAAAAGATTTGTTCCTTTTAACAGTGAACATTGGAATTCTTTTAATCTTCAAAGAAACAGCAGAAGAAGAAGATGATCTTCCTATTCCAGCTTATCTGAAAGCCATTATAGTGTAAAGGACATTGTAGAGTGTGGTTGACACTATTAATAGACATACTTGGGTACGACAACTGTTTTTACTCCTCCTAATTTTGACCACTGGTGAGTTTTTTTAAATTAACTTCCTAAATTACAGTGTTCTGATTTTTAAATTTTGAATAGTAATAATTCTCACTCCATAGAGTATTTATGAGAATTAAATGAGAAAAATCAAGTGAAATGTTTAATATGTCAGCCAGCTTACAGCAAGTATTTAAAAAGTTACTTACTTTTAAAATTACCTAAGTATGAAATTATATGTACCTTACATGTGTTGATCAACTAAGACCTAGATGTGAATTCCAAGCAATCCTATACTTTTATTTTGATACCTATACTGTCTATTCACTTTGCAAACCCTTAAGAAACCTGACCTCATGAACTACAGAAACAAAGTGTCATGGGAAAAGTTTATATAATTCTTTCTGGCCTCAACTTGATTTTGTTTCTGTGCTAGTGTTTGAGAAAGAATCCGTAAAATGTATGAGGACAATCTTAAATTTGGAATGAGAGAGATCCTGTTTCAATTATGGTTCCTCTGATTTAATGTGATGTTAGGGATGATACTTACCCATCATGCAATGTAGTTTCCACATCTGAAAAAATGTGCATTATGCTATATATTTTGAGGTGTCAATATGAGGTTTGCAAAAAGTAATGTATATAAGGTTCTTAAAGAGAACTTCTTGGTGCCTACTCAGAAACTAAACAATGTAACTTATTTTCCCTTTCATTTACAGAACTGGTTATAATACTCACAGTTATGCCATTATTCTATTTTGCGTATTATTTTTAGAGCTCAATGTGCCTCATTTAACAAGCTGTGTTAAATACCTCTGTGGCTGTCAGAATAAGGGCTACAAATAGCTGGAAAACTTAGTGAAAGGCTAAGAGTAATCTATTAGGTTGGAGCAGGTATTTAGATAATCTTAGGGGCAAGTACCTAAAGACATTTCAAACAGGTAGATGATCAATGACAGAGATAGCTTCCAAATGGATGTCTGAGAAGAGGGTGGCAACAGGGCAAGAAGAGTTTGTCTCCCGAGATGTAATTAAGCAAGACTCAGTGTCAAGGCTGAGAGTAAAAGTAATGGAGAACATTAAAGTCTGGAGAAAAGGGTCAGGAGTCTAGTCCATTAGAATCCTCATGCAGGAGACAGAATTCTAGTTCTTGGAAAATTCCCAGTTTGAAATAAAGACAAACATTCCAGTCTAGAGAAATAAAATAGGAATTTAGTGTCTAAAAGGAAGTGGGTAAAGGGGAATCATCTTGGTCATAAGAAACAAGACAAAGTGTGAATTCAGAAATTCATGTTTCTTCAGGGCATTCCATATAAAAGGCACTGCTTTAGGCTCTGGAGGTATTGTAAGAAACAGGATGAGAAAAATTCTCACCTTTATGGAGGTTATGTTTCAGTTTTGGAGACAGATAAAAATATCTGTGATGAGGTAGGAGAGTATTTTAATATTATAGCTACAGAAGTCCTCTCTGTGGTTGTGGCATTTGAGCATCAAAGAATTTAGTGAAGTGGGAGACTAAGCTATGGAAATATCAAAAAGAAGAGGAAAAAAGTTATAAGTTTTTGAAGTACTTACAATAAGGGGCAGATGAGTACTTTGCTTTCATGTTACTTAATCTGTACAACAGCACTTGCAAGAAAGGTGTTATCTCCATGCTACAAAAAAAAATGATGCTCACAACTAGTAAGTGACAGAGAAAAAATCAAGATGAATTTGTCTTCCTACTACTAAATGGCCTGCTTTTCTTTTTCTAAATGGTGATTTAAAGTTTCTTCTTTTCTTTGTGAGGAAGATTGTCCCTGAGCTAACATCTGTGCCAATCGTCCTCTTTTTGCATAAGGAAGATTGTCACTGAGCCAAGGTTTATGCGAATCTTCCTCTATTTTATGTGGCATGCTGCCAGAGCATGGCCTGACAAGCGGTTCTAGGTCCATGCCCGGGATCCGAACCTGCAAACAATGGCCATTGATGCAGAGCACGCGAACTTAACCACTACGCCACCAGCTGGCCCCAATTTAAAGCTTTCTTAGTGGAGGTTTCCTCATCTTCAAACAATTCATTTTTCCCTGGACCAAAGTTTAAGTAACTAGGTGAAGAAGCAATTCACTAAAAAGGCCTTGGTCTCCTGGGTATCTGTTGAATGTCTATAGCAGTTCACTTACTGCACAGAACTGACTGTTGCTCTATTTCCCTGCCTACTTCCCTGCACTACACTTGGCCCAAGTGAGGGCTCCTTAAATATTTATTTATTAAGTGAATAGAAAACATGACTGCTGCCATGTTTCTTCTATTTGATAAAAGCTCTTTAAAAGACAAGGGCTGTGACTAGCATTAAAGCTTCATTCCAAGATCCAGAAGTTGAATCTGTCCTCAAGACTCTTGAGATAATTAGGGACAAAGTAACTGACAGATATAAGGATACTGAGGTTCTGCTTCATTAGCCACAACAAAAACCCATCTGTGATTCAGAACTTCATCCGCTCCACAAATGAACTGCCAATTTTGTGCTGTCAGTTCTCACCTGACTCTTTTTTTTTTGTGATTACCCCCACTAAACCTTCTTTACCTTTACTCTTGGAAAATGCTTTGTGAAAACTGATTCTAACACAATGGGGGGATGACTTTGTAAGGTTTGATTCAAAACAGAGAAATGGGAACCTGACTTGCTTAGGATAAGGGAGGTTTCACATGGAAAATTATGTCTTAACTTGGTCTTTAATGATAAGAATGAATTTGTCCGTCTCAAGACTCTGGAAGGAGCATTTCTGGTAGAGAAAATAAAAGTCACAGAGCTTAACAGAAGTCATTAGGAAAAAGGTTCTCTCCTTCAAAACCATGCACCATCTCATCATCTCGACATGAGGCCCCAAACACAATGTTGTGGCTGGGTCAGTCTGTCAGATTCCCTGACTGAACTCAAATCCAGGAAAGAACCAAGAGGAGGGATGATATTCCTCCACTGCTGCCCATTCCCCTCCCATCACCTCCTTCCCCTCTCATCACCCCCTTTCCTTCCCATCATCCTCTTCTTTCCCCTTCAACTCTTTCTTACTGTCCTTTCTTTACTTCAAATTGCTGCCTGAATTGGAATAGCACGTTTCTCTGACAAGCTCATTAGGTAGAAGAAGAAGTGAATGTTAGGAGGAGAGCACTAAAGTAACAGCCTTTTGGTAAGTAGAGAATTCAAAGCCATAGAACAATAGTGGCTTGAACTTTGCCTGGATCCCTGTAGTTACTGATATCTATGACTTCTCAGGAAGGAAGGCCACTTGCTGTAGCACTTTCCTCAGAGAACATTTCACTTCCTTATTTCTCAGGCTGTAGATCAAGGGATTCAGCATGGGCGTGACCAGGTTATTCAGAACCTGAACAGTTGCATTAAGCCAAGGTTTGGGCGTGGGCTGTAGGTAGATGAGGACCACTGGCATAAAAGAGAGGAGGATGGCAGTGAGATGGGCACTGCAGGTGGAGAAGGCACTGCGTCGTCCTTCGGCAGACTGAATTTGAAGAATGGAACAAACAATGCAGCTATAGGAGGTGAGGATGAGAAGGAAGCAGCTGAGGGGCATGAGGCCCACACTGATGAACCCCACAATCTCCAGGGCTGAGGTGTCTGCACAAGCCAGCTTCAGCATCACTGGGATATCACAGAAGTAATAGTCCACCTCATTGGGACCACAGTAGGGCAATTGGAAGGTAAGAGTGGTTAGAAAGGTGGCCTGAATACAGCCAAAAAATGAAGTCCCAATGGCCAGTATGGCACATAGTCTGTGACTCATGATTATTATGTAGCGTAGAGGGTAACATATGGCAACAAAGCGGTCATAGGCCATCACTGTGTACAGGAAACACTCGGTACAGCCCAGGAAATGGTAGAAGAAGAGCTGAGACACGCAGCCTGCATAAGAGATGGCTCGGCTGCTTCCCGAGAGGTAGAAGAGCATTTTGGGGGAACTTACAGAAGGGAAAAATATGTCACACACAGACAGTTTACACAGGAAGAAGTACATGGGGGTGTGAAGCCGAGTGGAGGAGGAAATTGCCAATAGGATGAGCAGGTTCCCCACAAGAGTGAAGAAGTAGAAGACCAAAAACAGGACAAAGAGTATGGCCTCCAGATTCTCTGTGTGTGGGATGCCCAGCAGAATAAATTCAGTTACCGCTGAGGTATTCGTCATCTTTGTCAGAATGTTGGACTTTCAAAAAGAACACAGTTCTCCAAAGTGTGAACACTGATGCCAAACCAAGAAGCTCTCTGTTGGATGTATTGGTTTCATGTTTTAACAATCAACAAGCAACCTTCTTATGTAGGGATATACCTACATAAAAACATAAAGATAATAAAGATTATTGACTACATCCTGGAAATTTTGGTTTCTGTCAAGTTAGATTAAGCTCACTACAGTCTATCTTTCCCACAGATTACCATTAAACACGCTGGGTAAAATACAACAAATATTTACCTAAGAGCTCTTAAAAGTAAACAGAAAGAGGCAGATTGTGGAGAGGAGACACAATTTGCAGGGGAAACACTTAGAGATGGGGGTTTCTACTTTTTCCTGCTCTTTGCTCTTGTGCTTTTGAGCTGAATGTAGTTCACAATTACAGAATTGTATGGTGGCTGTTCTGGGTACTAAAACTCCAACAGGTGACTTTTTTTTAATGAAACTTGATAAAAGGAGTTTCCATAATCAAAGAGAATGATGGAATCTCTGTTGGCTTTTTTCCTCTTTCTCTCTCTTCTTGTTTTTCTTCCTGCCCCAAAGTAATCTCAATTCTGGGATTATCTGGAAGCAGCATGAGACTGTGTGTGTGTGTGTGTGTGTGTGTGTGTGTGTGTGTGTGTGTGTTGGAGGTGGTTGGGGTGTATCTCTGCAAACAGGAGAGCTGAAGAAGGGAACAAAGTCAGGGCTCACTCCTAAGTTCTGCATATGTGGAATGGACCCCAAGAAGTGTCACTGAAATACAATTTAAAACACCATCCAAGTCTCAGACTAACCTCTGAGTGGTACATTTGAAGGACAAATGTGATGTGGCATATTAAGGTCTTTGAAAACTGAACTGACATTGAAAGCATTGCCAAGACGGCAAGAGAAATTACATGTCTGATGCTAACTGGATTGACAATCTGTTAAAACAAAAAGACAAGCTAACAAAAATCAATATTCTCCAGAGATTTTTAACAGAATGCAGAGTGTAAACAACACAACATCAAAGATGTCCAAGATGCAGTCTAAAATTATTCAACATACAACCAAGAGAATGTAATCAATTCTCAAGGGAAAAGATAATCAACAGATACGAACTCTACCCTGAAATTCAGATAAAGATATTAAGCATCTGTTATAAGTTTACTCCATGTGATAAAGATAAACATACTTAAAATTAATGGAAAGATACAAGTTCTCAGCAGAGAAATATAAAGTACAGAAAACGAATCAGATAGAAATTTTAGATTTGAAAAAAATATGATGCTGAAGAAATTAGAAATATTTAACATCATACTGGGAGTCCTAGCCAGTGGAATAAGGGAAGAAAAATAAAAATCAAGGGGATAAAAAGAAAGAAAAAAAAACTCTTTCTATGTACAACTATATATTTATCTACATAATCAACCCCAAGGAATCTACAATAAAAGCTTCTAGAACTACTAAGTGAATTTAGCAAGGTCACTGGATACAATTGTAGTCAATATACAAAAGTCCCTTGTGTTTCCATTTGCCTGCAACCAAAAAATGAAAATCAAAATTAAAACAAATAGTACCATTTACAACTTAAACCAAAAATACATAGTTTTATATCTAACAAAATATGTGCTGGATCAGTATATTAAAAACAAATCACTAATGAAAGCAAATAAAGAAGACACATAAGATGGAGAAATAAATTGCGGTCATGGATTGGAAAATTCAATGTTGTTAAGAAATCAATTATCCACAAATTAATCTATATAATTAATATAATCCCAACCCGAATCCCAGTAGATATTTTTGTAAATATTGAAAAGATAATTCTAAAGTTTACGTGAAAAAGCAAAAGAATTGGAATAGACAAACAATTTTAGAAAATGATGAAGTTGAAGGGCTCACACTACCTGACTTCAAAACTCATCGTAATGGTACATTAATCAAGATCATGTGGTACTGGTGGAAGAAGAGACTCATAGACCAATAGAGTTGAATAGAGAACCTAAGAACAGACCTGCACACCTGAGGTCAATTGATTTTTGACAAATTGTGCAAAAGCAAGTAAGTGGAGAATAAATAGTCTTTTCAATAAATAGTTCTGGTGGCCAGCCCCATGGCCTAGTGGTTAAGTTCAGTGCACTCTGCTTTGGTAGCCCAGGTTTGGTTTCTGGGTGCAGGCGTAGACCACTTGTTGGTGGCCATGCTGTGATGGTGACCCACATACAAAATAGAGGAAGATTGGCACAGATGTTAGCTCAAGGTGAATCTTCCTCGGGAAAAAAAAAAAGCCAAGAAATCCCTCTACCTCAAGAAAAATGAGCAAATGATTTGCATAGACACTTCATGAAAGAAGACATACAAATGGTAAATAAATATTTGAAAAAATATACAACATCATTAGTCAAAGGGAAATGCAAATTAAAACCACAGTGAGATAGCACCATGCACCTGTTAGAATAGGAGGGAAAAATTGACAAAATCAAGTGTCAATAGAATACAGAGCAACTAGAACACAACTTCCAGATGTGTACTCAAGGAGTATGAAAACTGTGCTCCCAAGAAAACGTGTATACAAATATTTATAGCAGATTATTCTCAATCAAAAGAAAAAGTAAACAACCTAAAAATCCTTCAACTAGCAAGTGAATAAACAAACTGTGTTAAACCATATAATGAAAATGCTTCTCAGCAATAGACAAGAATGAGCTTTTGGTTCACAGAATGACATGGATGAGTCTCAAGTGTATTATGCTCAGTGAGAGGGGCTGGACCACAAAGGTTACATACTCTATTATTTTATTGCTATGACATTACGGAAAGCTAAAATTAGAGAAACAGAATGCAAATCAGTGATTGTGAGGGTTTGGGATAGGAGAGGGATTGATTACAAAGGAACAGCACAAGGAAATGATGGAATCATTCTGTCTGTTGATTTTGGTCAAAGTTACATGATTGTCTACAATTATTCTAAACTCATAGAACTGGACTCTAAAAGTATTTTAATGTATATAAATAAAAACATGAATTCAAAAACTTTAAAATATATTGACTGTTTCAGATGTATAGCTTGTCATATCCTTTAAAGGAATGGTTTATGGAGGTCAATGATCGTCCTCCACAAGTTTAGGGATATATCCAAACCATGTTTTTAATCAAACTTTTATTATTATATTTTTCTAAGACATTATCTTGGAGCTTATTCATATTTTGAGACAACACCACCACTTAGAGTAACAAACTCTATGTTTTTATTACCCTCTGGAAATAGCAAATATTAAGAATTAAAATCAGAGAGTTAAGTTTTAATTCTAGCTTTGCCACTTGCTAGTTGTGTATGTTTGAATAAGTTACAGACTTCCTTAAATCTTACCTACAAAATGGGAATCACAAAAACAACAGCACAGTATGTTTTCCAAATGCATAGTGACCTTGAAATATCTTTGAAAATGACTAATAAACTATAAATCATGACATAAATGATAATTAATGTCATTGTATTGTCATTTCATTCTGTCTTAAAATGTGGGGGGTTTTTGCCTTATTCTAATAATTCTGATATTCTAGAATTACTTGTGAACTAGTCTTCCACTTGATATCATTATTTTGCAGACTTTAATCATAACCCTATCAGTTCTCATTTTCCCCTGATGAGGGATTTTTGATATTTAGTGATCAGAAATCTGTCAGTTACTGTGGTTCTTGCTGTCTTTCTTTACTTTCTAAGCAAATAAGAAGTGATGGGATGCTGAGCCGATACAAAAGTAACAGCAAGACAGACATGGAATTCATGTTACCTTGTTAAGGTAATAAATTCAATGAAACAGAAATGAGAGACAGTGGGCAGATCTAAAAATGTAGCTTTCAAATGTTTTTCAGTGCTCCTTCCTCTTCATTACCAGTCTCAGCTTTAGAAAACTTGATTAATATCCGGTTTTCAAGATAATGCAAGCTATCTTCAGTCTATTCACACCAAAAGTTAATCTTAATCACAAATTAACAATTTCAACACCCAAAGCCACATTCAGGCAAAAAAAATATTTGAAGATATAACAGCCAAATTTTTTTAAAACTGATGAAAGATACTAAACTATAGTTTCTGGAATCTAAGTTAAGTCCTAAGAAGGACAAATCCAAGGAATGCACAAGTAAGCACAACATAATAAAATTGCTGAAAACAAGTGACAAAGAGAAAATATTAAAAATAGCCAGAGGAAAAAATATGCATTAACCAAAAAAGAGCAACAATATCGAGAGCCCAATTCCCAAGAGAAATAAGAGAAGCCCAAAGACAATGAAATTATATCTTTAAAAAGCCAAAAGAAAACAAATACCAAATTTGAATTTATATCCACTAAAGCTCTTTGAAAATAAAGATAAAGTAAAGCCACTTCTGTGCAAAGATTGACACCATTTGTCCATTTACCTCCAGCAGCTTGAAAAAACCTAAGGGAGATTTTTAGGCAAAAGCAAATTATTCTAAAAAAGGAAGAAACATTTTAGAAAGAATCATTTTTTTAATCTGAAGGATATGACTTATTTAACTGTCTATGAATATTGACTGTAAAAACAAGGAAAATAACGTCTTGATTGATTGAACTATGTGTAGTATTAAAACGCATGACAACAATAACATGAAAGTCTTGAGGAGAAAAGTAGAGTTAGTATGTTCTGAAGAGTTAATGTGGTCTGAAATGGTAAAAAGCAAGGATTCATCATTATTTTCAGAGTACTTTCTAAAAAGAGTGAAAGAATATAAAGGTAATGACATAGTAAGAACAAAATAGATGGAAATTTAAAAAGAAGAGCAAAAAATATTGGATTAACCAAAAAGTCAAGATATTTCTAGAAATAAAAGAATAAATAAGCAAATTTTGGTATATTCATTCAATGCGTACAACGATTTCCAGTTTGTGGAACTTTGCACAGAGCAACAGAAATGAATAGAAGCCATAAACAATAGAAACCAGACACAAAAGGCCACATATTATTTG